TATATATATATATATATATATATATATATATACATTTATTTCTGTCATGCACTGCTGAAATTTTAAAAGCCATTACTCCAGTCTTAAATGTCACATGATCCTTCAGAAATCATACTAATATGCTGATTTGGTGCTCAAGAAACATTATATTATTATTAACACTGAAAACAGTACTTCTTACTATGTTTGTGTATATTATCATAATATTTCAAGATCTGTTTTTTCAGGATCCTTTTATGAAAAGTAAATAAACCCACGGCAGACTAAACAGAGGGCAAATCTTAAGAAATATTTTTCTCCATAATATAAAAAAATAAGGTTTGGCTTTGAATGAAAATAAAAAGTACCTTTGGCTTGCTTCCAAGTGGGCAATCCGAAATAGTACGACCACAATACCTGCATGCCAACTATTGCACCAAAAGAAAAAAAAAAATGCACAATGTTCTTCAAGATACTGAAACAAGGAAGAAATGTACATTTGATCTGATCACTTTAGCATTGATGCAAACTGCACACTACATACTATCCTCATTGTACAATGTACTACAAGTACTTCTTAGATGTAATAAGTGGAAATGCTTTGAACTTCACTTAGACTTACAGTGAAATCAATGGTGTGCTTATAGTCACAGCGCCCCCCGATACTCGGAGGATTCAGCAGACAGTCAATGCCATAAATCATGCCTCCATTGAAATCAAGGTTTCTCTTTACAATCCGACAGCTTTTATGGTTCACATAAAGCTCTCCCTGAGAGATAAATATGCATGATATGATGCACAGTGATTAAAGAAACAGCTACATGAATGTACAAGCCAAATGTTATTTTTTTCCTCCAGAAGTACTCACTATATGCACTTCCCCCATGCAGGCCACTGACAGATCTGAGCCCTGCTGAGTCTTTAAAGAGCTGGCATGGATGAGCTCTGAGGGCAGGAGCTAGTGGACACAATAAATTGCGATACATTTAAACGATGCATTAGGGAGTCAACACTGAATTTCCTGTTATACTATATTAGTCTTGATCATTAATACAGCCATGCTCCTTCCAAAAAATTCAACATACTGGATACAGACCAACCTTGGTGTCACGCACGATGTGGTATCTAAGATACTCAGCTAGCTGATCACGGTTATGCATCGCATACAGGAAGTCTTTCTGCTCTTGGGCAAGGGCACTCATTGTAGCATCCGTGGGCAGGAACAGGGTGACAGGCTGATGAATTGGATCCATCACCAACTTCAACGTATCTGTGTCCTTTAAACAAACAAGGTAATATAAGACTTGGATTTCATTAGAAAGTAGAGGGTTCTTCTAAAAATAAATAATAAATAAATAATAATAAAAATATAAATAAATAAGAAATAAAAAAAAAAATATATTTTTTTTGTGGAGAGGATTTTATTAGAAAGAAATACATATTTTTTCTTTCTTTTTTTTTTTTTTTACCTCCAGAAGCTTGTAGAATGTCTTGAAGCCATGGAGACTGACCACATCTGAGAGGTTACGCTTTCAGAAAAAAAAAAGTCAATGACAAACAAAATTTAAAAATCTGTGTAATTTCATAATTTCATGCTTGATTATTACTCTTGTCATTACAAAATAAATAAAGAATGTTGTCAGAGTAATCGGGGACATACTGGTGTGCTGTCTTGTTCTCTGTCTTTCTGAATCTGATAACCAGGGGGCACTAGAACAGTGTCAATCTCATGGAATATCCCATTGCTACTTTCCAGATCACTGAACACCACTTTGGCTTTATTATTGATGTATATAGTATCCTGAAAACAAATAGCGAGCATGTCAATATGCATAACATGGATCTTATGCAGTCATCTTTATCTGAATTATCTATGCATCAGGCACACTGTACCTCCGAGTACGTAATGGTGAGGATGTCACCGGTAAGTGTGGTCAGGTTACGAGGCTGTGTGAGGTCTTCTGGGAGGAGGGCACGGCAGGCCACTATGTGGTACCTCAGGATTTTGGCGTTTTCCAAACGGGTCTGCTTTACAATGTCCTTAAACTAAACAATAGCAGTGACAATAACAAAACCTGCTATCATATCACAATTTCCTCTTACTATTCATGATACTCATTAAGAGATAACAATGGGTGGATCACATAAAACATGTTGAAAACACAGCCAGGTTATATTTTAGCTTATATTCTGATTCTGATTCATGAACCATATTTTCTTACTAAATACTCATTATCATAATGCATCCTAAAGCTTCCGAGTTTGTAATTCTCTTTTTCTATTCTTGAGTTTGTCTCAGTGACAGTCTCATTAGGACATATTCTTTAGAGGTTTTGTGTTTATTTCCTGACTTTAAGTTCAGTCACATGGCACAAGGACTTGATGGATAATCTTCCAGCCAGTTATGGCACAAATTGATAGGTCCTCTACTTGTAATCTGTCAGCCAATCAGATTGCATACACTATGCAAATGAGCTAATAGGCTCATAATTTGTCAGCCAATGAGCTTGTATGCTGCTTGTACCGCTAACATTTAAATAGCCAGCTTTAGCCAATTGGCCAGTTTAGTCAGTTGCTGTATGGTTAGCAGATTTGTTACTCATGGTCTATGGGGTAAAACTTGGGGCGAGTAAATGATTATTATTTATTTAAATGCTGAATCTCTCACTCAAGCGCAAATACTTTTCCTATTGTTTTGCAGGAGGTCATTTTTAGTGATGGGAAATCGAGGCTTTCTGAACTGTTTGAGGCTTTCATGAAGTTGTGCCGAAAAACGGTTCGTTACGCGAAGCTTTTAACAGTGCGCACTAGCGAAATCTGGTGGTCAGACTTGGTTTCTCCACCAAATCTAACAAAACATTGCAGAGCAGAGAGGATGGTTTGAAAGTTTTTAATCTGTGCCAGCTCGTGTCATGCGCAGTCCTGTCAACGGATTCACATATTGATCAATATAAAATATACAAGTATGTGTGATTATAATTTAATAACTGACATGAGTAGTAGCAAAAATATTTTGTGTGAGCTGTTCGGGGTTGCTCCGCAATAGAACATGATAAAATGCAATAGAGGTGTGACGTGCATTCAGTTTGTCTGGTGTTGAGTTCACTCTAAAATATTCTACTGAATCCCAAATAAGTGCACGCGCACACACACAACCAAGTCAATGTAAAGTCAAACACGAGTCATGCCAAGCGCCGATTTTTTTCAAACCAGCTGAATACTGCATGACGTCCGAAGCTTCAAATGTCATCATGTGGTATTGTCATTTTGATACAAGCATTGGCACAGTGTGTGGTACTTTAGTGCTTTGAAAACTGCATCGGAGCTTCGGTATCAATTGTCCCATCATTAGTCATTTTCCCATATCTCTATCAGCTTGCTTTGTAATATCCTGCATTTGCTAATGGTAAGTTTTGGCCTTCATAGCATAGTTGTTTCTAACAAGATGGGCCTTAGCCAAATTGGCTCAGGGACACATGGTTCTAAAACTGTATGATGTTCTTCTGTGGTACATAAAATGTTGAGATCTCCGCTCTTCTCCATACAATGGAATTCAGAATGCTCCAATGTTGCTTTGTTTCTAACAAGTATCATCAATCTGCTGGTTCTGTGTGCTGGGTGACTGGGGTCAGCAATGATTTTGCGAGATCAAAACATCTTGAGCCTCTGTAAAAAGTAAAGTCGCTGACGGGCAGACTTTACTACTTTACTACTTACTAAGCAAGTCAATCCATTTGAGTTAAATAAGTTTTGTTTAATGTAATGCCGTATCTCGTATAGTACAATAGTATAAGTTGTCTTTAATGTTAAAAGTGTCTGACATCTACTGACTTGTCTGACTTCTGTATAGCTTTGACCTGCCACCGCACTCTTGACAGTTTCTAGTAAAAATTAAGCTGGTTTAGGTGTATTTAACTAGGTTGAGCTAAACTCTGCAGGACTGTGGCCCTCCAGCAGCACGATTAGACGCCTATGACTCTCCACCCAGCATTTTATCCAATCACACTGCTGCCTATGTCCCTTCACAAGCAGGCTCACACCAACTTTTCATTGGTGGCTTTGATGCTTGAAAGTCAGGTAACTTATTTTATTAGAATTTCAAAGTGCCTTTGCCAAGTTTGTCAATTAATAAAATGTTGAGGTGTATTTTGCACAGTATGTGGAATGCTGCTTGCAATCTTGCCTCATGTATTTCCATATGATGTGGTGCGCTTCACTCCAATGTAGCAATACCCTCATTTTTTATTTTTATACCCCCCAATCTAACTAGATTTTAAAGTGTCTTATGTTTTTCTTTGTTTGCTGATGAGCTATGCTGCCTCTCTCCCATTTGAAAGCTAACTGTTATTTGGTATGTATACATGTGGCTTTTTTTTTTTTTTTTTTTGCATTCTTGCAACTTTGAATGGATGACCCCTGCAAAACACCCGTGGCTGTGGTTGAAGACCAGAACCTATGCAAGAAACTCCATCTCATGCTCTGTTAACTAGTTTTAATGTTATCGTAGCAGTAATAATCCACAGGTGATTTTTTTTTTTTTTTTTTTTCATTTAAATTTCTGACAGTTTTATACCTCTAAAATGTTTAAATGCACTGTTAAAAGTAATAATTGTGTTGTCCTTATCTAGACACATAAATGTGATGGGAAGTAATGTGTTTCCAACACATAAGTTTTAAGAGTGTAGCATAAGTCTTTAATACTATTGAAGTTTACTGCTGTAAGTGTGATTTTAAGTCACAATTTTGCTTAATCTAATCACATTTGAGTCTTACCTCTGGTTTGTTGTAAGCGTCTGCATTAGGTGCAAAGACTGTGAAGGGGCCACGACTTTCGAGTTCAGGTATATTATTTCTCTGTAAGTTCAGTAAGATCAGTCTCAGAATTTCAGGCTTAAAACATCATGTTAAAATGATTAAGAATAAGCGTACCACCAGTCCAGTGTAAAAGTCTCCTAAGTTTCGGTTTCGAATCTCCTAAAATTAAAGAAAATAGTTACTGTTAAAGTATTTGTTCACTTGTGTGCCTGTTTATATTTTTGCTGTACTTCTCACTCTTTGCAGGGTGCCTTTGCAGGTTTCTCCGTCTCCAATAAAGCCTGGCCTACAAGTGCAGTTCCTTTCCAGGGGTCCTGTCGTGGTACATTGTGCGTACCTGTGACATCCTCCGTTTTTCTGACAGAAAATAAGTAATAGTAGTTCCATGTTGTTCATGTTAATCTTTGAGCTGCAACAATGTCACTTTTAATACAGTGGTTTTCAACTTGTGGGTTGTGATTCAGAATGAATGAACAAACTATTGACTTAAAACATTAAGAAATGAAGTCTTTTGATTTTAAGTACAAATTTGGTTTCAGTCAACAACTCTGGTGATGTTGATGCACGTGATATTCTGTGTAAATCTGTGTGATGACGTAAAACCAGTTGGGAACCACTAATAAAGTCAGTTTAATGCAGTTATCAAAAGCACGTACCTCAAGACATACATTGATGGCTTCACATTGCTTTCCATCCCCAGAAAAGCCTAGTTTGCAGTAACATGCTGTCTGGGAACAAATTAAGTAAATTAATGTACAGTGCCATTACTTCAACTATATTCTATGGCTGAGTCTCAAATCTTTCTCAATTGTGTCTCGGTCATTTCGTACTCCAAATATTTTGCATAATGTGAGACAAATGTTTCCTCTGATTTTGTGAACACATTTAGTCCCCAGTTCTTTTCTTTTGCATTACAGTAATGAGAATGTGCTATTGTTTGTACCGTATTGGTAGTATTTGTGCTGCGTTTAATTTACAATGGGAGAAAAAAATGGTTTCTCTCCACTTAAAAGTGAAAGTTTAGTTATCTTTTCAATAGAGATTCATACCGTTTTGGAACTCTGCAAATAAAACCTTCAGATTATTTTTTGTTTGTTTGTTTGTTTTGTCAAACTTTTAAGTGTTACTACAACTTGTATGCTCCTTGAACATTTACAGAACATAATGACGTGTTGGGTTCCCTTTATTTTGTTCTTTCAATTTTCTTAATTGGATATTAAATTTACATAAAACCTGCAGAAGTCCCATATTCACTTATACAATTGTATCTGATATGTTTGCTGGCTATTTGGATGGTTTGTTAATATTTGCCTCCTACCTTATTAGGGCCTGTATGAATGCAGTCACCATCTGCATGGCATCCCCCATTATTACCATCCAGGCATGGATTGATGGCTTCAAACACACACACACATTAGCTCACATCAAATGCAATAAGTTAGTTTCATTTATAATACACAGCACTGCAATCACAATATATATGTTGTGTACTACCCTTTAAACTGGATATTAAACAGACACACACACACTTACAAACGCATACTTTTCCATCGCCTGCATAACCCGGGTGGCACACGCATATTCTCCGTCCTGGGAGAGTTCGCTTGCACACAGCATGGACAGAGCAGCCACCGTTATTCTCTGCACATGCGTCCACCGCTTGGGTTGGAGATAACACCACATAGTACATTAAACCACCATTTAGACTCATTGGCTACAAATGTTAGTGTTCGAATGTTTCTTGAGACGCTTACCTGTGCAATATGTGCCGTTGCCCTGAAACCCTGCAGCACAACTACAGTAATATGTACTGTCCACCACGTTCAGCAAACAGCTACAACACACATCAAACCCAAGTCATAAACGCAATATTTAAAGAGCATAGAAAGTATAAATATCACAAAAGCAAATCCAGGTCACATTTTAGTGCTTAATCAACTGTAGATAAGGTCTTTGCAATTAGCAATAGATGTACCTGTCTTTAGAAATATAGGTATTTAGTAGAATTTATAGAATATATTTATAGAAATATAGAATTTTGGGATTTTTTTTTTCTAAATGCATTGTTCCCAAGAGGACTCAATTAAGAACTTTTTTTTCACGAATTACAAACCACTCCCCCAATTAGAGGAGTACACCTGTTGCTCACTGTAAAGATTCCTATAAAGACACTGTTTGCCAACAAGCTCTTGATTTTTAAAGAAATAAAACAGAAGTTTATATCTGCAAGAGTGAGTATTTTTTTTTTTTTTAATTTTAAAGTAACATTCACCCAAATTCACATTACCACTCAAAAGTCTGGTGTCAGCAATATTTTTTTTTAAAGAAATCTTATTCCGTAAAGACACATTAAATTGAACAAATATACAGTAAAGACTTGCATTGTTTCAAAAGCATTCAGTTTCAAATAAATGCTAATGATAAAAATGAGATGTCCGCATATTACAATAATTTTTGAAGGATCATTTGACACTGTAAACTGGCTGCTGGAAATGTAGCTTTGCCATCACAAAACATTACATTTTAAAATGTATCCAGATAAAACAGTTCTTTCAAACTTATATTTTTACAATATTACAGTTTATGTACTTTTGATCAAATAAATGCAGCTTAAGTGAACATAGGAGACTTTTTTTTTTTTAAACCTTAAAAGCTTACCGATCCCAAACTTTTGAACAGTACGTATCTGTTTTGCATAAAGATAATGCCTATTTCTAAGAGTGATTTTTTTTGCATTGACTTTTCATGGCCATGTTTCCTTCAATTTGTGGAGAAATATAATGTAAAAGGGAAATTAATGTAAAAAATGTAAAATTAAAAAATATAAATATGAACTTTTTTTTTTCTTTTGATTTTGAGGTGTAATATGACATGCTCTCTAGAGCATTGGTCTCAAACTCAATTCCTGGAGGGCCACAGCTCTGCACAGTTTTGCTCCAACCCTAATCAAGCACGGCTGATCCAGCTAATCAAGGTCTTCAGGATTACTAGAAACTTCCAAGCAGGTGTGATTTGGAGCTGGTTGGAGCTAAACTCTGCAGAGCTGTGGCCGTCCAGGAATTGAGTTCGAGACCACTGCTCTAGAGGTTTCATGAGATTTACCCAAGAATGCTTTGGGAATATAGCTTTTACTTGATACAGATGGTAGTACTATTTGTACTACCATCTGTATCATATACTGTATTAACTTACTTGGCACTGCTGTGGCATTTTCCGCCGCACATATCTGATGTAATAGCTGAAAAGAGTCAACATATCTTTTAGTTACAGATTATATTTTATATATACTCAGATGGTACAAGGCATCAAAATGTATGTATGACTATTTGTGCGACAGGTGAGCATCATACCAACGTTGCAGTTTATTCCTCTCCAGCCCAGATCACAAGTACAGCTGCCGTCTCCATCCATTCCGTCTTTACAGCGTCCGTTGACGCACTTGCACTCTAAACCGAAAGATAGTGCATATGCAAACTTTGTATGAGCTAATTGTTCAGAGTGTGCAGTATATGAAAGTATGTGCTTTTAAATGCTCAATACCTTGATCACAGTGAACTCCATATTTTCCAGCTTGGCAAGTCTCACATGCGGTGCCGTTAAAACCCTGGTTACACTGACAGACGCCTGTGCCATTGATCCCATCTACACACACACCATTGCCAAAACAGGACTGACCTTCTGGCCCTGGACACTTCTCACAGGTAATACCATAATAACCTGCACAACACTTTCTTTCCTGCAAACAGAGAGAAATGGTTTCTGATATTTGCCTTTTTATAATAAAAGCGGATATGGCTAATTTAAACTGAAATATGTGTGAGGCTTTCATTGTCATTTGCTTGACACTGCAAACTAGTATTTATGTATTTTTGTAATTATAAACTGATTTGTAGCGCAAATAGTTTTGCAGTTTTCAGTACTTTGTTATTCTTAGTTATTTACCTATAGAAGCTAATGAATCAGAAGTCTTGCACATTCAGAGAAAATAGCTGGCAAAATAATGTTGATGTCATCACATCAAGCACAAAAAAATTCCAGAAAGCTCTAGCTGCTTGTGAATATGTGGGACTAAATGTGAAAAGTTTATGAATGTATCATGTACGTACAATGTTGACTTTTCCACAAGATACTTTGCATCCAACGATCAGCAGTGTGTCTCCATGATATACTCGTCTGTACATGCATCTTCTCTTTTGGCTCATCTGAGAATAAACACAGTATAGGAAGCATTATTTATTTTCAACTATTTTTTTTTTATTTTTAATTAAAGTAGGTTCCAGAGGGAATGTGGAAAAATGTTGACTCCTTTGTTAAATCCATAAAACAAATTACTAAATTCATATAAATAAAATATCAATTTTTAAAATATCAATTTAAAATATTACAATTTATCAAATAAAAAATAAATTTTTTTTTTAATTGAATTAAATTGGTTTAAGAAATAAATCTTAAACCAACTGATATTTCTTAAACCAATTTAATTTGATAAATTGACATTATCTATATCTCTATATCTCTATATATATCTATATATCGATATCGATATATATCGATATCGATATATATCGATATCGAGATCGATATATATCGATATCGAGATATCTATATATATCGATATCTATATATATCGAGATATATATATCTATCTCGATATCTATATCTATCTATCTATCTATCTATATATATATATCTATCTATCTATCTATCAAATAATATAAACAGTTTTTAAAATTGCATATTTTAAAATGGCCGTCTTAATATAAAATATTGCCATCCAAACACTTTTTGGGTCAACATTGTACACTCACCAGTCTTTTTGCTCCTGAAGGGCAAGGGTTCTCAGTTGGGTGTAAACAGTCCATGCAACGTCCCTTCAGACACAATGTACACATTTAAAACTGGTATTTAAATAAAGGCACAGGTGAAAATGACCAGGTAAAATGGTTAAATAGATATATTGTACCATGATAATTCTGGTGGTAGCTCTGTCACAGCGGTTGTTGGGGATGCTCAGGACAGCAGACACAGTGTGGATGACACCTTTACTGGTCTCTATATCAGTCACGTTCACCTCCGCCTCATTTACAAGCAACTATGACAGAAAAATCCCATATTTATAAAAGATTTAGCATGATTTACTTGGATGACTTGAAATAATTAGCACTGACTTTCTTATCTTGCCGGAAAATTCCAAGTTGATACGAGAAGCCAAGCATGGTATCTTTATACAGTCCATCCACCAAATCTCCATCTTTTAGAGTCTCATTAATTATAATGTGATACTGGGTCACATTCAAATCCTAGAAACACACAAAATTCATGCCGCAAAAATGAGACACTATATACTTAATACAGGGCTTCTGTAGGATTTTTAAGCTCAAATTTAAGACTTTTTTAAGACCTGCACAAATAAAATTAATACCATATGAGCGGGGTAGGGCAATGTCTATAGTACCATATTAAACTGTAAAATTACTGTAAAAAGCATAATTTACAGTTCAGATACAAGTTTTCACAAAAACAAAGTTTTATAAAATGATAAACTTTATATTTCAGACTTTAAACCATTTTTAAGAAAATGGATGAGTCAAAAGTATTAATTACTATATTAATTTAAACAATTATTAACAATAAATTATTATATCAATTAAATAACATAAATTAGGGGTGTGCGATATTGACAAATTATATCTCGATAATTTACAGGGATTTTATCGATAATGATAATTAGACAATATTTTGCTGAATGTGTTATTGTGCTGATCTTATTTCTAATTGTGCTGACAGCTGACTCCTGAGTTTTTTGATATTCTTCATATTCTGTGTGGTCCGTTCACAGCAGTGATAGAAATTAATAATTTCCAACAAGTTTTATGGCTTTTTAACCTTTAAACCATTTTTTCTAAAAGCGTGCACCATCTTTTGAGTCAAATTCTTGCATTTGGGTTGTTACCAAGCAAATGAAATCAGTATCAACAAAATTGATCTTTGCAATGCAGAGGAAACACAGAAGCTGCATTAGAAGTGTCATTTAGATGCATTTACACACTGTTTAATGCAGCTCTGAGGGACATTAAATACTTTACCCTGCCGTTACAAATGCATAAATAATGCTTTGATATTTTAAACATAATACATTGAAAACTTGTTTGAAATTATTTTAAAAATGAAAAAGTACCTTAAATGTGAAATGAAAACTGTCAGTAGGTGGCAGCAAGTCACTATTAAGTGAGTCATTTAAACGGGTGATTCATTCAGGAACGAAACACCATTGTGTTGCTCAGAGACACAAAACAGTGCTGTGGCTGTGTTTGGAATGATTTTTGTTGGAGAAATAGAGCAAAAACAGGAAATATGGTGTCTAAAACGTAAGTCACTTAATATTAAATTGTTTATTGAACTG